CTGTTTCCCGTCAAACTTTTCTATGCATAAGAATCAACTTGAGCTTCTCTTAAATTCTGAAAACTTGAGGTTGGCTTTTCTTCACTTGAAGCACGCAGCCAATTTCTCTTTGCCACTTAACATTCGGCTTCTAGGTGTCCGTAGTCATGGTACCTATAACACCTTATGATCACAGTTTCTCTTTTTAATTGAACATGAAGTTTATTCCTTTATTGGTGCAGTCCGAGGATTTATTAAATAGAATTTATCATTTCATTTCAACTTGATTTATTTTTTTTGCTGATGATAAATTTTCCAAAGATGCTAAATAGAATATTTAGTAGCCACTTGGTGCCTTCCTGGAGTTTTTTTTTTGCTTATTATGATTATAACCTTCTTGGAATAAATTTACAAAAAAAGTCTACTTGGTAAACATTTCATTATTATTTCCATGTAACCTATTTTTGCTAGATAAGGTTAATTTCCTTTAATATGTTGACGAAAAGTGGTCAGGATTCTTTGTTTCTTTTTTTCAATTTTTGATAATTGATTCACCAAATAAATTGAACTGGATATCCGTTAAATACTTTGTGACTTTCTGGTATTATGATTATGTGTCAATTTCAAGTCCGCGAAATAGAAGTCTTATTTATGTCCTTTGGTATAGTTTGAGAAGTTAATAATGTCTTATCAGCATAAAAATTTTGCGGAAGATCAATACAATATTCCTTTTTTTGTAAGGGAAGTGGAAAATCTGTATAACCCTTGATATCCAAGGCAGCTACCTAGTCCTCATTCTGCGGAACTGGATTTAAACTTCACAGATAAAGATCCTTGAGTTGATCATGCCTGCTTTTATGATCTCCGATTCCTTTAGCCTGTCAAAGTTATCTGTGTTGGTGACATAATCGCGAGCTTCATCCATCAGCGGTTGGATACTAGGACAATGATGAACCTTCATGCATTTCTCGAATTTTCCTTCAGCACTTTCTGGACTTCTGCTTCCTGGGTAATGCAATCCAAGTCGCGGATGTCAAGTATGACCCTTTGATCCACTGACTACACTAGATCCATGTCTCCGACTGCCTTGATAAATTCAACGATGAAAACACCCTTGTTCGAGTCTTCTTCGATTTTGTAACAAACGTTAAATCCCTTGAATTATTATACGTCCATCGCCAAATGGTTGCCCCTGTAAAACGTCAACGACGTTGTAATCGCGATTAGTCAATTAATACACAGAGGGCATCGCAATGCTCTTTTTGACACCTTTTCGAGACGCTCTCGTCCCGCCGACGATCCGACGACAGAGAGACGCGAACACTTGTCAGTGACGCATTGTATAAGCGAAATTGTTCTATGATCTTCATTTCTATAATATTGTAATAAATACTTTTGTAACAAATTTACTCGATTCTCTGGTCAATTATTGTTGTGTGTTACCTATATCGATAACGAGAGGATACTGGCCGTTCGTTCAACGATCAATTCGACAATCAACCAAGATTTCGTTTCGCTACTGCTCAGGCCATCCTCTCGATTCTATGAACATTTCATATTCGATTTGTGGAAACTCTAATCGAATTTTGTGTTTGATTTCGCGAGTCGTCCCCACGAGCTCAATTTCTATTAATTATTATTAATTCTCGCGATGTTGACCACAATTTTAATCAAGAGATATATCTCTTTTTTAGCTCGTACTGATACTCTCGTGTGGCTGACATCTGGATTGAGCTCTCCTCGGAGCTTATCCAAAACGATCGAAGTCGTCTGTAGCCCACTGGATCTTGTAAAAAGAAACTAAAAGGGGCGCGGAGGATCGTACCCTTCTGGCTGAGTAACGCTTCGACGGAGAAGCGCAGTTGTGACAATCTAAGGATGCGTATCATCACGTGTTGTAAGAGGCGACTAAGGGGAAACTTTGAAGGCACTACGCCTCCTCTTCTAAAGGCACAGTGAGACTGCAATCTGGTAGCAGAACCTTTGCGTGGTTCCCGCTGGAAGTACATGATCCTTGTCCTCGCTAATTCACGCTCACTCCTGTTGGAATGTTATCGGGACCAAGGTGACTGTAACTAACTGCTTCGCTATTTTATTGGGCACCCTCTTCTTGCAGTTTAGACATTGTCTATCTTGTGGGAAAAAAAGAAGACATCACAAGGAATTCTATGTAGTAAGAAGCGTTTTTTATCCCTGAACTACATTGTGGTCAAAATAGCTAGATACTTGATAGTTTCATGTAACATCTGAAATTTTAGTCCTATCATATACTCAAGGATCCGGGCATCCCCAAAAGACCTTGATCTTTTTCTCTATGTTCCGTTGAGAGTTAAAATAAGTAAAAATAAAATTTAGAATAGCTTATTCTTAATCTTTTTCTAAAGGTAAAAAAAAATAAAGTTGTAAGTATCATCCCAAGAAAAACATCAGCATCTGAAACAATTGTAAGACTTTATATTGAGTCATAAGATATAATCCCTTTGTAAAAACTTATTTTGGAACATCTTGCATTTTATAACTTTAATCCTCTCATTGTTAAGATAGGTCTGTTGAAATTGTTTCGAAGATAAGAGTACACTAATAAAACTTAAAACCTAACCCCTCCACTTGCAATTATACCTGGGTCCAAAAAACCTACAAAATATACCTGTACTAAACACCATGTTACCAACACATTTTGACCACTGTACACAAGCTACCAATGTAATCTTTGACTACGACGACATGACACTTTGCCATAATCGTCAGAACCATTTCTGCTCTCGCTTGAGTAGGAACGAGCAATCACTTTTTCACAAATATTAATTCATCGGCGTACTCAATTTTTACCAACATTCAAATAAATAAATAAATTGTAATTTTTTAAATTATACATGTACATTGTCTCACTTCATTTAAACAGCCAAGCAATTTTCTATTAAATGTTTCTTTGCATGAACACTCTATAAGGATACGAGCAACGTTGTAATGAATTATCACCACTCCTATGAAAGCAGTTTTGAAAGAAAAATTCCCTCCAAATAAAAAAGCGCGTAAAGGAAAAAGGAACAATTGTATCTTAATGAAGACAATATATTTATGACAATTGTAATTACTTGAGTAGTTAAGGAAGGAGAATACTCATTTTGTAAATTTAAAAGTTTGATCCAGCATATTAGTTTTATCAAATTAAAAATATTTATAGTTAATTCATTATAATTTTATAATTTATAATTATGTACATACTAATTTTATTTTTAAAATAAATTTCCTTATTTTACTATTATTAATTGAAGTAATGACGAGTGAAAATTACTAATTCATTTATTTAACAAAGCTAATAATATATTGCAACAAACTGGATGATGGATTTACCAAGCGGTGTTGTTTTCTACTACTCCTCATTATTACCTCGATAAACATTACAATGTGTGTATAATTATAAAGTATGTTTATTGTTTATATAAAATTGAAATAATAAAATTGCAAATGAGCAGCACTCTTAATTTTTAACATTGTAATTTTAAACCTAGTATATTTAAATACAAATTAAAATGTAATTTATTTGTTATTGTAACAAATGAACAAAAGCCTATCTGAACTAAGGAATTTACAAAATTGTAAATTTATTTTAATTTTCAATTAATTGTGTTGATTTGAAATTTAAGCTTTATTTGAAATCAGTTTAATTAATTTCAAATCGGCATTGATTACAATGAACGAAAATTCTAACCATGTTTACATTAGAGAAGGAATTTATATAATTTCATTTGATATTGAAATAAATTGATTTGAATCACTTTTGCTAATAAATAATTTCTCATCCAAGACCTTTTTTTTTAATGAATTTCGTTATCTAATGTAAATTTATTTAAAATATAGATATCTTTTTCTAATATAATATAAAAAATAATTTACTTCAAATTTTTGTTGTTACTAATACTGAAGAGGTACGTTTATATGTCATTATATTTTCTTTATTTCTTGAGACAATATTGTGAAATTGAGTAGGAGGCACTTCCGGTTATTCAGACGCTAACCTTTTTAAAATTAATGACTATTTTTAATGCAATTCCTTCTTTATATTAGCTGTATGTTCATGTATTGAATTATCAGGTCCTTTGTGAAAAATTATATCTGTACCGCAGCTTATGGTAATGGCTCGAGTAGAACATTCTTTTTAGCTTTTTATATTTTCAATATATTCTTCCTTTGACTTGACGTTGAAAATAATATGAAATTCCATTTATATTTCAAAAAAAAAAATTCCTGATCGATATTGTATTAATTTTATAACTATTTTTGTAATAATAAAACTACAAATTACATCAATTTGGACAAGATATAAGTAATATTTTTTATCAATAATTAAATATCTAATTAAAAGGTATGGAATATTTTTACTGACAATGAATTTTAGTATTTTACAAATTTTTTGATACAGAAAAAATAAAACGTAAATACAAAAATAATCTTTGTAGTAAAGATAAAAATACGTTTCAAATTTATATAAACATACAACCTGAACATGAAAAAATGTTATGCAAAATTGAGATTTTCAGATTGACAAAATCTAAATTCAAAAACGTACAAGAAATGACAAAATACAATTATCTTGGTTCTATTCAAATTAAAAAAATTATGTTTAAAGACTTGTTTCTTATATCAGATCATTTACTTTAATTCAACTATTTCTTTTTTTTTAAATTAATGAATCAATTTAGATAGAATATGATAATTTTCTATTAATTTATTTTTTACAATTATTTAAATTCATTTCGTTTAAAATTTCCTCTAAAGATTAAATTAATTAACTGCTTGTCGTGTAATAAATTTGTAACTGATACAAAAATTGAGCAGTTAAAAATAAAAATAAAAAAAATAGCAGAATACAAATTAGTATTTGATAATTTTTTTAATATGTGCATGTGTGAAAAAAATGTATGTTTGTAGTGTAAATCGATGAAAAGACGAATGTGTTAGTGTCATTACTCCCGTTACGCTCCACAAGAAAACTTTCACTACCTTTTAGCCTCGAGTTCTACTAATACGATGGAAATGCTAGCTGTTTTTTCCAAGTAGAAATGAACAGATGATACCGTATAGCAGTGAACCTTGCAAATCATTAGTCAAAGCTTCGATTGTGACGATTTTTTTCTAAAAAAAAAAAAAAAAAATTTAATAAATGACGGTGAATTGTGTCTGTGATTATACGTTATGTACTTTAATTCACATAATATATAATATACATTTCTCATGTGTCAAACCCATATCAAGGTGATTATTTTTCCTTTTTCCAATATTTAAAAAATCTTCAAAAAAATAAATTTAATATTTTATTTCCTTTTTTTATAAAAAAAATTATATAAAATTTAATTATTCTTGAAAAATCATAATTTATCAAAAACAAAAAATTAAGATATAAAAAATGTATATCAATAATAACTTCAATTGTAGAATTGGAGTGAATAAAGAAAAATTTAATTTCACCTAATAAAAAATATTGCAAATAATATGATCATTAAAATCATTATTAAATTTTCTGTAAATAGTTTCGCGAGATACTTTTCTACATAAATAATACCTCTGTTGTAATTTTAAGGCGCACGTTTCCCTTAAATACTAATTTATTTACAACTCTTTATTGTCTTTTACGATTTTCTTCTCTCATATAAAAAAAGTTTTATTCGTTTCGTAAACTTTTTACGGTCTTCTGCTTTAAAAAAAAGAAGAAATCTTTTGCAAAGTTTGACAAAATCAGATTTATAATAGTTGAAGAGGAAAATTAAAAGTCAAGATATACTTTTAATTTGCAATCAATAATAATAATTTTTAAAAACTTTTTTTTCCTCAAATGATCAAAAAAAATTGTACTAAAAGTTTTGAAAAAAGGATCTTTCAGACAAATCCTATAAATCTTTGTACTAAGAGAAAATTATTCATTTCTTTTTTTATCTGTTATAAAAAAAAACCCAAGTTTAAAAGATCATTTAAAGAAGTTAAAAAAGTTATAGGACAATCAATTTATTTAAAGTGACTGATTTAATTTACATTCAAATAGGATTTTATTTTTATTCATTTAAAAAATAGAACTATAAAAATGAAATTGAGAAATAGAATAGAAAACAAAATTGTAATATAAAATTTTTTAACAATTATTTTTGAAAAATTTGTTAATTTTTTTTTTTTGCAGAAAAAAAAGAACTACAATTGGAGGCTAAGTGACCAGAAGTTGGATAAAGTCGAGTGATATACCTATATCTGCAAGTTTCCGCAGCAGCTCTAGAACCAAATAACCTTGCAACGAAGGCGTAGTTTGTAACGCTTGAGTGGTTCTCACAACGTGGAATATGTCGATTCGAGAACTCATGCTTGCCATTACGGTTCTCACAGACATTTAGCTTTTCGCACACTCACGTAACAAATCTCGATATATATACCTATATATTTTACCCTAATAGTCGCCAACCAACCTACTATACTCAATTGTAACATCTCAGTCGCCGATAATATCTTCATCATTTTTCTACACTTGACTTATTTTCTGATTGAAATTCTATTCTCGCCTTTACACCCGTAATGAGCAATATTGTTTTAAAAAAATTTATAATATTTAAAATAAAAATAAAAAAAACCTCGCGGCGACTGTTGTATATAAAAGGTACAAAAGATAAAATTGAGACAAAACGTGAGTTTTGGCAAAAGCATTTTTTCAAAAAATAGCATTCAAATTAAATTACCTGAGTTAAATAGATAAAATAAAAAAAACAAACAAAAAAGAGAGAGAGAGAAAAATAAATAATCAAATAAACCTTATAGCTAACAATTCCCAACGCATAACCAGAAATTGTCGAGTCTACCTGAAGTTGCGCCAGGTTATTAAATACCAATTTTTATACCTTTAGAAAAATTTTTGGCCATTATTGCGTAATTTTACATATCACTTATAATATCAAAAAAAACATTAACAACTTGAATGAATTTTATGTTATTTATTACAAACACCAAAACACAGTAAAAAAAAGTTATTTAAGTTGAAAATCACTCAAAATTAAAGAAAATAAACGACGTGTTGGCTGACACTTAGGCGTTGTCCGACATCTTGAAACGCAATCACCTGTTTTGCTTCCTACTCATGCGCGGGCATAAATCCCACGTGGAACATCCCTAAGATATCCTAGGGATAAAAATGATATAGTTTAAAATTTCTAGTACATAAGTTTAAAATTAAAAAACACTTTGATAAGAGTTTATAATATTAATTTGAAAATATATTGTATGAAAACAGTGAACGACACTCTTTAATAAAATGAAAATTATTTAAACTACTATTTAAGTAACATGATATTTATTAATATTATCACAAATTTTATTATTCAGATTTAATGTACAAAAAAAGTTGCTTTTAAAATATAATCATTTAACAATTTCTTCATATTTATAAAATTTGTAATCAATAAAGCACATTTTTTGAGGTTAGTTTCCTAGAAAGTAAAATATTGAGGAAAATATAAACATATAAAATTTTGTATCAACTGTATTAATTTCTAAATATTGTATATTAATTAATTTACTAGTGCGAAATTTAAATTAATATTATTTCTATTGTTATTATCGTTTTCAATAGCAGGTTTCGTTCACTGTCAGGGTGTCGGTCACTGTACCTTACCCTATAGAAATCAAGAAAAACCCGAGAATATGTTGAAGAATGGAAACTCGATGAACATGAAGGGACTCAAACTTTACTGAAATCATTGGACGTTGATTGGCTGATAAAATTCCTCTACTGGAAGTGGCGCGTGACTTATTCAAATTTGAATTTCGATATAACCAAATTTATAGTTTTTATTAATAATCATTTGTTATTATTAAAAAAATAGCTTCGGAATAGTGTAGATAATAACATAACTAATTAAATTTTTATGATACAATTTTTTTTTTAATTGTACTATAGTCGCAGTCTTTGGATTAAAGCTGTTTCTTGCTCCATTCATTAATTATTTGTCCTCAAGCTGCATCTTTGGCTCTTTGAACTTCGAATAAACTAAGAGCTATTGGTTTATTTAATCTTTTTTCACTTTTCTGTTAATGGCCTCATCCGAAACGAGCTTAAAGAAAGAAAAAAAGACAATAACTTATTTTTATATAAAGATCGTAATTTCTCCAAAGAAAGAAAATAATTTTTATATACTTTTATAAAGAAAGATATTGAACAAAAAAAAGGTAATAGCAAAAAATTGTGTATTTTTCATATATTTAAACTATAATAAACACAAGTAATAAAATTATATGTAGCCATGTCTACAGTACTACTATAATAATATAAATATATAAGCACCAAAAGTGAATAATGTTTAATTAATTTTTGATTTCCTGTTCATTTCAGTGACAATGATTGTACGAAATTCTTGAAACGACACGAAGCTGAATTTCCGTATTCGGACAAAGATCCTTGACAAAGAAGATTAATATTCGAATCTTCGCTATGTGACAGAAGAAGCCATTATTGCGAATCTCAACTCTGCTAAGCACCGAGAAGGCCAGCATTAAATTCTCAATGTCATCTTTTACAATGTTCTCGATGGAGAAATTACTTTCATTAAATTTGCTTCCGACAATGATATTTTACTAGAAACTCAATCCGTGGCAATTTTATAAAAAAAAATTATTTTTTTTAATAGATGAAAAAATTCTGTATTTAATTGCATTTATTAAAAAGATTTAAATATGAGATATTTTTAATTTTTGATTTCAAAATATTGACATTGAAATATCAAAAAGTGATATTAAATAAAACAAATATATATATATTTTAATTAAAATTCACTTGTAATAAACTTGTAAATTGATTTCAATAAATAGATTCAATCTCGTTGAAAACTCAATCTAAAATCAATCATATTTAATTCAATGAAAAGAATTTAAAATATTTTCTTCATTTCATAAATGAATTAATAACTTCTTTTTATTTTAATTACAGATAATTGGAATCATACTATATATTAAATAATCTGAAGACAGAAAATACTGACAATTAAAACTTTATTGTACCAATTATAATTTTTTATTTGAATTAAAATTTTAAAAAAATATTCAGAAGATATTTGAAAACATCAGACTAATGAAAATGAAAGAATGAAACAATACTAGAGAATAATGATCAAGGTTCGAAATGGTTTAAACCCGGGCAAATGATGCTTTTTCGTTATAGATACTAGATAGGATGTGTTAGTCTGTGAATGATCCTTTGTTAAAGTGAAAAACTCTTAACTCTTTGGCAGCTGTCCAAAAAAGATTGAAAAGTTGACGAAAGTGTATCAGATTTCTGAACAATAGACACGAAATATTGGTGAAATGAATTGAGGCCATCTTTTCAACACCCAAAAGACAAAATAATAATAATAATAATAATACAAAAAGAAAGAAAAAATGAAATATCGTTAAAAAAATTTAATAATAAAATTATAATTGTTTTAAGTACGTAAAAATAAATTTTTGACGGTTGTTAAACTTAAAATTAAATTGCATTTTTTTTAAATATCTATTAATTTTATTTAAATTATACGTAACAGAAAGCGTTCCTTTAATCAAAAGAAATAATATCATTTGAAATTTTGGCTTAACTGCTAAATTTTAAGCCTCATATTAAAAAATTATGTAATAAATGCAATAAAGTAACTTTAAGATGGTATTAATTCGTAATATTAGTCACTTTAGGTAATTCTCTTTAATATAAAATGTAAAATTGAAATTAAATTCTGTTGTCCTATCATAGAACTCATTCTTCATTAAAAACATCTCAACTTTAGAAAAAATACACAAAAGAGGTCTGGTCTATCAAACAGAGGGAGCTTATCCTCCCAAAGGGTCCGACTATCTTAATTTAAGGAGAAAATTTAATTTTATTATACTTCATCTGAGAGCCTTTAATATATATTCAAATGTATATATTTGTTTAACGCCTAATCACCGCCATAATAGATTGCAATTTTTTTTTATTATTCAGTTTCAAGTTTTAATATTATTATCTGACTCATTGTTAATAATGGATTTATTTATTTTTGCTTCATGGATTAAGTTACAGCTGATTATTAACACGATTAATTATTATCACAATTATTATTACAGTATTATAATTTTGCTATGCGCTTTAATAGCTGCTGGTTATGGGCTTGATATTATTTTACGAATAATAATAATAATAATAATAAAATTGACCATGTTCAAGTTTCACTCACTCATTTATGCAGTACGGTTTATGTATTTTGATATTTATTCCTAAAATTGAACGAATGTGTACCAAATTTCAGCTCTCTAGGTAAAAAATAGGAAGTTATAGATTTCATGAATATTTTGATAAGACACAGGTAAAATCCAAATCATAATTGTTTTTAAATAAAATTATTAGTAAATAGGGTAAATGCACCAGTGGTGGATCAGGCACCAATGGTGGATCAACAGCGTTAAAAAGGTTAAAATAAGCTATTTCTAATTGAACTAAATGTTTCAATAGTTTAGGGGAGGTGTATAGATAAGTTTTATGAAATAAAATCATTTGAAAATATTTAGGAAAACAGAGCAATACAACAATTGTTGATTTTATGCTTTTTCACATGAAATCTTAAAAAATAATTGTTTAGTCTAAATTTTTTTAATTTTTAGAGTAGAAAGTAATCAATTCTTTCCATATAGAATACTTTTGGAAAAAAATTTACATCATTAAGTTATTTTTGTGTAGTGTAAAGGGGTAAATGATCCACGACTGGAGCAATGTCATTTTATTGTTGAATGGGAGTGTGAGGGGGTGTAAACGTTACAAGCAGGTCGAAAACTACACGATAGTGTCCTTGGAGACTTGTTAATTCATACTATTGTAAAGATTACCCTATATTTTTCATCTGAAAAAATCTGTACACCTTTAAAGTCAAAATAATAAATTTAGTAGGCTTAATTGATCCACCACTGGTGCAGTTACCCTATGCCGTTCCTGGTTGCTTTATATTTTGCAAGGATATAAAAATATTATTTTAATTCAAATTAAAGTGTGTGCGCTCGCCAAGTTGTAGGTGGCACGCAGAAATATTAACAGACGACAAAACCACAGCGGGACTAGGGATGGGAATCGAAATGAAGTAATCGAATATCGATTGAATCTTCTAGAACAGTAAAAAGAAGTCGATTAATCGACACAAAAATTCGAATATATTCGACTTTATTCGATTTTTTTAAATCCATAAATAGGTAAAAAATTGCGTTAACGAAAAAATTTTCAATAAATAAATTCATAATTTATCATTAAGAAAGCATTTATTTCAACAAACAATTATAAAATTAAATTATTAACATTTAATAATTTTTTATAATAAATCTGAAAAGTATAAAATTATTTAGTTAATATTCGAAAAAGAAAAAAAAAACTGAAAAAAATTAACTGATTTTTTTTCATAATTTCTTGTTTCTACTAACCAATTTTAATAATAAAGTGCTTGTATCATGATTCCGATAACCTATTATTTTTAAGTTTAAATTTTATTAGTGTATATTTTTCTCAAAAGTTTTTTTATGTATTTAAGAATATACTTACCTAAAAATTTTGACAAACATCACTGCGGTAAAACATGTGTAAAAGCTTTGTTATCACTCACTTGTCTTCTTAGTTTAACCGGTTTAACCATTAAAGTCGTTAATAGACATTTGACGGTTGTTGTAGAATCTGATTGTGGCAGGGACGATTAACCGCTTATGTTGTGAGACAAAATGTGTTTCCAAAACTTACCACGCTTTTTTGCCGATTAATCGAATAGAGTATTCGACTACTGTCGATTAATATATCTTACTAATCGATTGCTATTATTCGATTAATCGACACCTACTATTCAATTTTTGCTTATAATCGATTTCGATTTTACCATCCCTAAGCGGGACCTGATGCCGAAACAGTCATCAGAGAGATTTGCCGATGTTTGTCAATGAATTTAATAGTTATTAATAGTTACTTAATGTTTATTAATATTGTTATTAATGGCAGGAGGAAGGTGAGTGTTTTCAGAAGAAGAATAATGCCAACATGATTATTAAGGACGGATTTAAGACTCTTCAGGATTTTGTTAGTGAGGCGAAGACAAAGTAAGCTCTAGCTGATAATGGAGATAGCAACCTTAGTGGAACAGGAAAAGAGAGCGTCTTCATGAGAAGCAGATTCGGCTCTAGCAATCCAGACAGGACTGACGCCGAAGCGAAGAAGAAGAAGAAGCAAGAGAAGGCATCTCTTGTTAAAAAGATTTCGAAGGTGACGCAAGCACCGAATGCTAAGCAAACCAGTAAGAAGAAGTCCAAGAGTGGTTCTACAATGGTAATCGGAGTCGCAACATGAACAACGTATGCCGATGTATTGAGAAAACTTCAGAGGGAAGTGAATCCAGATGTCCACCACACGCAGGACGTGGGTGCAAGGTCTACAAGAAAGGGAGAACTCCTGATCAAAATCGGAGGAAACTCCAATACGGAGGCTTTCACCGTGGAGGTCACCAAAGCAGTTGGTAGCATGGGAAAGATGCAGATTGCGGATCGACAGGTTACACTGGAGATCCGATATCTGGATAGCATTACCCAGAAAGACGTTCAACAGGCGTTTGCCAGAAGTGCTCCAGAAACTAGAAAGCAGGAAGGTGATGGTTCTAGTACCTTACCAACGATGAATGAAGCTGGTGGTTATAGTCACCGACCCAGAGGAGGCGGACCCGCTGAAGCATTTGAAGTACATAATGATAGGTTTTATGTCGTTCCCAATAAAAAAAGAGTGTTGGTCACTAGGTGTCAGCGATGCCTTGATTACGGTAATATAGGAAGAGTTTGTAAGACAACGGACAGATCGACTGCGTGCTTTAAGTGCTGTGAATTAGTCATAAGTTTACAAACTGCAGTAGAAGCCCAAGTTGCTTCTTATGTAGAGAAAAGTATGGCGATAAGGCAAACATCAGACATGCCGCAGACAGCGGAGTCTTCATGACGGCCCTTGAGGAGACCAAAAAAGACTTTCGAATGAACGAAGAATAAATAAGCCAAAAAGATCTGTAACGGCAGGGGTCGCGAAAGGGAGATCCCAGAGATCTTCATAGTCCAAGAATTAGTTCAGTCAAAGGGTGTTTTAAACGTTTTTACACTGTTAAAAATAATAAAAAGTCTCAAACTATTTAAACTTTAATTATTAATAAATAATTAAATAATTGCAACTTAATTGAACACAAAGAATACAAAAATCAATCGTTGAGTAGTTTATTTATTCAATTCATCAGTAATTTTTATCATTTTTCACATTATTTCCACTCATTAAGAATGTGCGACGAACTCGTTGCACATTCATAGTTTGCGATCCAGCAGGGTTTTTATAAAAAAATTGGATGGTCTTATTTGCTATACAACTATGAAATATATTCTCTATGAAAATCTTACAATTAGTGTAACCATTTTTTTTTTGAGTTCTGCAATAATTTAAATTGTTAGTTCTATATTGACAATCTAGAATTGTTAAACGGACTTAATTTTTAGTATCCATAATTCTTTTTTCTATGTCCGGATTACAGAACTATAATCAACTTAATTTTTTTTTGTTTTAAATGACGCTAACGAGTGTTATCTCCCATACGCCAGCCACACACTTTAATTTTGACGCTGCCAACTTCATAGTGGAATAACTTTAATAAAATTGAGTAAAATTGTTTAAAAAAAAAAATTTCCGCTCCTTTACGATAACAATAAAAAAATGTAGGAAAATTAAATTTTATTATATATTATTTTGTAATAAAAAAATTCTCAAATTTCTCAAAACAGACTACACCCTAAAGAGGTTATGTTTCCTTATAATTATTGTTTTCAATGTAAAAATGATACATTTATATGGAAATTTAATATATTTCAACAAAAAAAAAAGATATCAACAAAAAAAATTTATCATTATATAAATGATTTATTCTAAATGTTTAAAGAAATAAAAAATTTACATTTCCATAGTTGAGTAATGTTTCAAAATTTCCAAAAGTTTCAAATGTCCGAAGATTTTAAGTTTTCATGGTTATATATCAAAAAAAGTCAACGTGAGTCGTAGTCTATTCTTCACAATTTATAACGACTAGTGGTCAGGTCTGCTCTCCACTAACCCAGATAAAGCGACTAGGATTCGCGGTATGGTATCTTCTCTCTCGCAAGTTTAAGGGGGATAGGGTGTCGCGGAAGGAGGAAAAAGGGTGATGCGTGCGCAACTTCCTAACTCTCTCTCTCTATCACCCTCTCAAACATCCCTCTGTCCGTTCCTCTATGTGTCGAGAGGATTTACCACCCTCTACAAAACTACCCCGCACGATTCCACGCTCGAGTCCGGGTAAATCCTGGTCGCCAGTGCCCGCGCGTCTTCCGCAATTGTCGGACCGCGTTTTCAAAAAACGTGAAAATATTTTCCACCTGTCCCTCAAAAAAAAAAAAAATATATAATAATTTCCTAATTTTCCACGTGAAAAATTAGTAGAAAAAAAAAAAACAATATCAAAAGTAGACCCTTTTCATTTTTCTCTTTACCAAAAAAAAAAAAAATAAAGGCGGAAATTCCTATCCCTAATTTAATAAAATAATTTTGTTATAAACAATGAATAACTCAAAACAAATTGATTGTGAATCAAGTGTTGTTGTGAATATACCAAATGTTTGTATTTTTAGGTAAACTTCCTTTTGTACAAAATTACATACTAAGTTTGTGAAAGTGCAAAAAGTTTATACATGTGCATTTGTGCAAAAAATGTTTAATTATAAACAATAAAAAAAAGTGCTTAGTAGTAAAGAAAAAAAAAGGGAAAACAATATTTATGAAACAATGAAGGTAAAAAGAATAAAAAAAGAAATTATGCATATAAAATCTTTTAAACACTTATTAGCAATAATTTCATAAAATTTTCTTTTTATTTATGCTCCATTAAAAAAAAAAAAAGCAAATATGAAAATAGTTAGGAAGTTGAATGACATTACGAAGACAACGAAAATTCCAATGCTAGAATGAAGTGCAATAAATGTTTTTATTGGAACACAAAAGAAAGAAATTTATCATAGTGTAAATTGAGTGTAAATTAGAGGAGGGGGAAAAAAAAGTTAGTGATGTTATACGATTCAGGCAAAAATACACCCCAAGGATTAATGTAATATAAAGTAAGTATATTACGAAAGATTTTATTTCAAATAAAATATATATGTGTGAGAAATAATTGGAAATTCAATTATTGTTATTTAAATAATAAATAATATTAATATAATAAGAAATCCTATGAAATTTATTTTACATTATAATTAAATAAGGGATTGTCCTCGATTGAAAATGCAAATGCCGCAAAAGTCATTGATGCGAAAGGACTTTGAGCTTTATACACAGAGAGTATTGTTCTAATAATTAGATTATTGTTATTTGGTGGAGAATTATATTCGAATTAGTATTAGTTTAATTCTGTTAAATACGTGATTTCATGTTTCTCTTTATCAGTATAATTGCATTGAAAGGCACTTGGTTAAATAATGACGTTAAATTGAAAATCAAAGTTTTGAACAATAGTAAAGCAATAAATATAGACAATAAAATATGATGGCATATATATGAAATCAATAAATCTGTATTGAAAATCAAAGTTTGTGCACGCATCTCCCTCTTCTCCCTCCGCGTGCATATATTACGTAACTGACAGCCAGTGTAATTTAAAATTCCATCTCATAAATTTGTTCATATTTTTTACCATTAAAGTTGTCAAGAAATGATTTTCAGGCGTAATTTACTTTTTTTTTTTTATTATTAATTTAACTTGAATGGTTCGTTTACATATTTTAATGAAATTATTTGTAATTGTGGAAAAAAAGTAGATATAAAATTCACAATTACTATTATTTAATATAAATAATGTTGCATTCTTCTACTTTGTAGTATAAAACTAAAATAACTAATAATATTTTAATTATAATCACTTCACTAAATTCTATAATAAATTTACTCTCCCTGTGGAATAAGTGAAATTTTATTGAAAACTATTTCCGATCCTAAATTTAGAGTTTAAATTCCATTAAAATAATAATAATAATAATAATGTTAAAGTGTTTGTCACGTGGTTTTGGTAAATGAAAATTTCATTCACATTATCTAGTTATGAAATTATTTGGCACTTAATTTTTGGAGATTTTGGAATTTCTCTAAAAATGAGAATTGTGTATTTAACATATGGAATTTTAAAATCATATAGATAAATATTTGGTATTTTTTTTAAAAAAGCAAGAGGAAATAGGATGATAATTTTTTAAAAAATAGTATTTTACAAAACGTTTGAGTCGCAACTTAGTCTTTTGAATTATATGAGCCAAAACCACTTTGCATCTCACATGCTTCATGTTCATATTACAGTCGTAACCATTGAAATAGATGCCATTAACTCAGAGTCTTCTCCAAATATTCATATTACTACAAAATCCATTTTATTATATATTTGGCTAGCTTAGTACATTATATTATATATATATATATATATATATATATATATATATATAAAAATCACGTAATCTTTTAAATTTGTACTGAATTTTTTATTAATTAATTTTTTTTATTAATTACCAAATTAATTTTTATTTAATTATCAAAATTGCAAAAAGGAGAAATGATATTTTAATAAAAAATTTAAAATTACCCACTTTATTTATTAAAAAACCTCACTTGGAAAGATTCCCCGGAAAGTGCCCCCTGGAGGTTCTATCAGAATTCCACCGGAACTTCCAACGTAATTCCGGCGGAATTCCATCGGAGTTCCAAAGAATTTCCTATGGGATTCCGACGGAATTCCGATTAATTCTTTTTTTCAAAATTTTTAGATTCCTAATTCCGTCGGAATTCCGTCGGAATCCCATCGGAAATTCTTTGGAACTCTGATGGAATTCCGACGGAATTACGTTGGAAGTTCCGGCGGAATTCTGATAGAACCTCCAGGGGGTACTTTCCGGGGAATCTTTCCAAGTGGGACAAAATTAATTACAAATTACATAGTTTTTTTTTAATTAAACACATAATCTCTCATTTTTTATATTAACAATTAAAATTAGTTTTCTAATTAAAATAAATTAAAAAGATGATAAAAACAATTTACACATGATCCGTGCTTGTTATATACATATAAAGCGAAGTCGATTCTCGATTTAATGCTTTAATTGACTCAAAATGAGGAACAAAGGAAATAAAGTTCAATCAAACAATAGTACAATAAAAATTCCAATTGCTTTTGATTATTCAAATTCTGATTCAGCAAAATTCACATCGCCATAGTTTTTTGTGCAATTAGTGCATCAGTCGATGAAACCAAATTTTTGTTTAATAAACATCCTTTTAATAATTTTATATTAAGTTTGTATGAAAAATAAAAAATTGCCGATTACTTTTTTTTGAAAACCTAATTTTTTGAAGAATTTTTTCACATAAATTGTTATTTTCAATTTGAATTTTATTAGACAATCAAAAAGAATTTTTTATTACAAGGAAAATTAACTAAATTATTTTCAATTTTGTTCAAGAATCAAATATCGCTTTGAAAATCGAAAAATGTAATTAAAAACATTTGATGTAGTAAATTTTGTAATAGTTTTGATTATATTGCTCCTAGGCAATCGATAACTTTTTAAAGATTTTACTGATAGTGAAAATAAAAAATAACAAGAAAATTGTTATTATTTTCGAAATAAATAGAATAGAAATAAAATGAAAGAAATAAAAGATATTAATTTAATATATACAACAAAGTAACAAAACAAATTATTGCAGTTGAAAAAAAATTTAATAAGTTAAATTTTTTTCTACTTTTAAAAATGCTATTACAACGACAATTTCAGAATCATTTTTATCTCAACTATAGTTTACTAAAAGTACGCCATATTGTTTTTATATTTTTTAGTTTATGTTTCGTCTTATATACATTAACTTTGATATATATATATATATATATATAAACGTGAAACATATCTTGGACGATATAACACATGTTGGTGTAATGTTGCTACCGTACAATTTCAACTTCCTTCCATTTCATTCTCAACTTACAGATTAAATCTTACCACCTCTGGATGGTATGACTTGATATGTATGAAAGTATCTCTTTATTTCAATTTATACTTTTGTCTCTTGTACAATTTGTCCCTTGTTGAATTCATTCTGTATTTTGAAAATTTTTATTGATCAGCATTTTAGTAGACTATAGAATTGAAAATAAAAATACGTGCTTTAACAAAATGAATTATAAACATTCTGGCTTTGATGTACGTCCATTAATATATTGGGTATTAAAGAATCTAAATTTTTCTCAGATTTAATAATATCAAAGACATCGCAGGAATATCCAAATTTCTGACCCATGGGTTACCCGCAAGATATGCTAAATATTGAAAATTTAATTATTGCAACAAATAAAAGTAAATACTTTTTCCATTAAAAACCCACAATTTCCACAAATAACTTACATATTTATTTTAAAATTTTTTTCTTAAATAAAAATTTTTTTTTATAAATATACTGTACAATTTTAATGAAACAAAATATTTCCTGACGCATAATCTGAAATTGGATCTCTTTTAGAAAAATTTTCGGCCAGGTTGAGAATATGTAAAATTGCTTTGTAAAAACAAAACAGTACACAAAAGAAACACTTCATTTATTTGTTATAGTTGTTCAAGGAATTAATAATATACTTGAAGTTGCTGAAAAATAATAGACGCACAAGACCACTATTGCGTCATTTGACATATCATTTATAATATCACAAAAAACATTAACAACTTCAATGAATTTTATGTTATTTATTACAAAAACCAAAACACAATAAAAAATAACGTTATTTAGGTTGAAAATCAATCAAAATTAGAGAAAATAAAGGACGTGTTGGCTGATACATGTTGACAATTTAAGGGGTTACACCACTGTAGAAGGCTGAAATTTAATATTTTTTGGCATTTTTTTCGTGGAAGGAGAAATAGGAAGATAATTAAATTGAAGGATATTATTAGGCATATTTTTATCTTTGTAAAAATATTTCTTTTAATTAAAAAAGTTACAAAATGACGGAGTTACGGCCGTTCTTCGAAAATGGTTTTTATTGGAGGGGCTCCACTGCACACAGCAATGGGATTACTAATAGCGCTAGTCGCTATGTAGCGCTTTTCGTTATTTAGAATTAAAAACTAACATATTTTTAGTAAAATTTGTTCCAAATCATGACCAAAATAAAATACCGTTGACAGTTTCTTCAAAGCTTAAACTGCAAGATGGTAATTTAGAAGAAAATATAAACATAACCCCTCTAGATAAGGACATTGACATAGAATTCATGTCAATTCCCTAAAATATTTTATCTACATAGCAAACAAATACAACATGAAGGTGGAATTAATTCTCTAACTTCATTTATTTAACAAACATATACGGGCAACGGCCGTTGAGATACATGAGTATAGTAATAAATAATAAGCGTGCTATGATAAAATTATTCATTATTATTTAGTATTTGCTTGGTTCAAAAAAATCAATATCATTGGAAATGTCATTCGCTTCAATACATATTCTACTAAAGACTGAATTTTTACCATAGTTTGTTCTGTGTATAGGTACACGAAATAATTGATAATGACGAAGCGCAACAGATGGAACATAAAGATTAATTTTAAACACAAGTTCAGAACAGTTTAGTAGGCCATGTAATATTTTGTAAAAGAATACTAAATCAGAATACAGAAAGCGAGCAGAAATTTCCGATATATTTTACTTATTTCTGATATTGGTATAATCATGACTGTGTCTGTCATAAGTATAAGTCATACCCAAGCAAAAAGATGCGAATCTAAGAAAGCGAATTTGTACACTTTCAATACGCCTGATGTGCAAATCGTAATATGGAAACCAGATCAATGATTCAAATTCTAGAATTGATCTGACCAATGAAAAAAACAATACTTTTAACACTAAAGAATTTTTAAATAAATTAGCGTTTCTGGTGATAAAGCCAAGAACTTTTAGAGCTTTACTAATAGTAAAAGAAATGTGGTAGCTTCCCCAATGGAGTATTTGTGGCTGGTAATGATTTTTTTCTGTGATAAGGATAAAACAGAGCATTTATCCAAATTCAAATGAAAATTATTACCTT